AAGCGCTCTCCCGTCGATCCAAATACGTGATAATCGGAAAGACTTGAATTTGGTGAGCCAAGCGTATGGGGTCGCACTTGCCAATCATTATTTTCAACGTGTAGCCGTATGGCTGGATGATTGGACGGACGGGAATAAAAAAAATGGTCTTGTGTTGTTTTTTTTTGATATTTCGCTCATTTTTTCAACAGCGTACGGTTCAAGTTGATTTATTGTTGTTGATAGCGTTTCGTATTAAGCATTTTGCACCAGCTTTTTGACAGTCGATAATAAACACTAAACGCTGAATATTGTCTTCCTACCAAAGTGAACCAGTCTCGTAGCTGATGCGGATGGTACGCCTGGATCTATTCATGCATGCTTGTTGCCTAGGTATCTATCTTAAAGTGGCCACTTCACTTTTCATTCCCAGGCAGGATACGATGCAAAAACGATCTTAGAAATTTATTCCTACAAAATCGAGTCTTTTAGTTGATTTAGAAGATCAGCTTCATTTTCCATCTATATAAAGCAGATAGCAGGTGGAAGGCAGTAGAAAACTATAGCGGCATAATTAGAGCATTATTGTCTAACGATACTGCTTTGTCCATAGCGTTGATTCACGCAAGTAGACAGTTGTAATTTCGTTATGCAAACTTAAGTTTGAATAAAATGCTTTTCTAACCTGTGCAAACATAACGATCGTCAATCGTTCGAATAAATTCAAATTGTAGCAAAATTCATCTAAAAACATGAAACACATGTGTATATGTAAATAGTAAAAAAGTAATAAATTAAATGAAAACAAGTAAGAAAATTATATACGGTCGTGACCGAATCTTTTATATACATCGATGTTTACCTCAAGCAAAAGCAAAGACAAGTGAAGTAAAAGACTAAAATTCTTATGCTCAATAATATGGAGCGGGCGCAGTTGAATTCTTATATTTTCAAAATAATAGTTTGTGGGCGTTGTAGGCTTTGTAGGCTTTGAAAAGTTTTGCTCAATAACAAATTCTTTTGCGATATCTTCATTATCGCTAACGGGCGAATGTTTACCACAAGCACTTCAAAGTTGCACAACATAGACAGATGGACAGGCGGACCTGTTTTGGGTGCATTCAAGATTTGAGATTGGTCAAGAATTTGTATAACTTATGAGGTGTTTTGAAGGTTGTTTTGCGTGTTGGAAAGATATTTGAAAAAATAATTCAATTTTGATACACTATATATGGGGTATATTGGGTAGGCGTGGTTAATTTTGTTCCATTTTTGCACACAGATGCTGCAGCATCGCCCATACAATATGCGTTCAAATTTTTGTACGTGTATTCGCTATAGTTTATGAGCAATGAGCAGAGGTATTCTCAGTTTACATGGTGCGGTGGGCGTGTCCTTCGACCGATTTAGACCATTTTCAATGCCAACGTGCGTGTAAGAATTTTCAATGTTTCTACCAAATTTAAACTTGATAGCTTAAATTTTTGCAGCCAGGAGAATGCTTAAAACAGACATTACACAGACGGACAGACGGATATACTGAAATCGATGTTGAATTTGATGCTGATCAAGAATATATATACTTTTTGGAATCTCTGATGCTTCCTTCTGGGCGTTGCAAACATTTTAACAAAATGAACATAGCCCTCCTCCTTCCTCATCCTGTGACGGATGTAAAAATTGATTACAATGAAGAAAATTTTACAAAATCGATGTAAAATCCTACGGTTATGCAACAGAATTGCACCGTTCAGATATATGTGATGACAGAATTTTTTGATGAAGTGCTACGACGTCATTGGATAACAAAATAATGGCAGAATGCTGAACTTATGATAATATATTCAACAGATTAAATTTGAAAATGCTTATGACGTATGCGAGGTGTGTTAAAAAAAAAAAAAAAGAAATGGCTTTTCAAGTTTTTTGCAGCTACGTGCATTTACCTATATTCGATTTTCGTTTTTTTTTTTTTTTTTTTTTTTTTTTTTTTTTTGGTTATATTGGTACACATATTTGCAATGTTAGTTTATTTTTGACCGATATAAAGATTAAAGGTATTTCGGTGCGCTTAGCTATACAAAAAAAAAAAAAAAAAAAATGGATAGAAGAATCTGTATTAGATTTTTGGTACTGAAAGAAGGCCGAAGAAGATATCAATTAAGATGCCTGCCCTGAACGCCCCAGCACGGCAACTTGTTACAAAGAATAAAAAATATTAGGTCGAAGTTATAGGCCGGACCGGAATTGTGGAACAGCCAGTCATGGATATTACACCACGATAATGCGTCAGCTCATGCATCATTGCCCACCGCAATCACTTCTCAGCGGTATTCATAGAATTTGGCTCTCTGCGATTTTTTCCCGTTCTCAAAACTGAAAGGACGCCTGAAAGGATAAAATTTTCTCACGATTGGGTAGATGAAGAGCGAGGGACAAAATAAATATTAATGAATAAATAAATATTTTTCGACAAAAGTAAAAAGTCCACTTTTGGAGGGAGCAAACCTCGCACATAGCGATTAAAAAATGAAAGGAGAGTTTCCTTCGGTCGTAGCGCCTCGTAGTCAGCGCTCAGTGGATAGAGGCATAACACTTACTCAATAGGCACACACCCATTAGGCTGTGATCGCACCCTAACTCGTGTTTCACTTCTTTCTCATAATCACTCTGGTACACGGATAGAGGCAAACCCGTGCTTGATTGGTCGTAAGAAGAAAAACAAAACGAGTTCGTCTCTGTTGGTCTCACGACCATAAACTTTATTTGTTTTTTTTTTTTTTTTTTTTTTTTTTGTGCAGCTATGGTAAGTAGAAATTATTGCTATTAGTGAATAGCCACCATCGGTTGGACTAGAATATCAGTAGGCATGCAACTATTTGCAGCTGTTAAAGGCGATTCTAGTATAACACGAGCGAGACTCTAGAGATTCCATATGAAAGGAAAAATATAGTGAAGCTATGGTCGATGCGTCTAAAGCTGAATCGTGAAGAACGATAGAACAGTTTCGCTTTTTGCGAAAGGGGAAGAGAGCATGAGGAGGGGGAGGGGAAGAGGATGGAGGAGCTCTGCGACAGCCTAAAAGCTTATTTCTGATAGTTTTGTTGGGATGAAAGGAAAGACAGAGCGAAGGGGAAAAATATTTGGGGCAGTTACGCGGGATACATGTAAAGTACTAAAGAGAAAAATATATTCTTTGGAGGCATATTTCATTTAAGCATTTCTAGGCCAAGCAGTATAACTGATATCAATTTAAATTACTTAACCTATATATCTATCTACTTTTGATCGATTTGTGAGTATTTGAATGAGAAAAATTTCGTATTTTTGATTAAAAAGAAAACGCAATCTTTTATTATAATAAAGAATATTTAAATTAACTTATCGGAAATATTTTAGGTATTTCTCTTTAGAATGTAGTTTAAAAAATATTGTGAAGTATTCGGGTGTGAAAATGAAAATTCGAGTTCGCGATATATATATATATATATACTGTTTGTTTTATTTCAAAAAGACGGTTTTATAATTTTGGAATGTTTTTTTTTTTTTTTTATATATATAATAAATAAAAAATTTATTAATTTTTACCCTAAGTCCATAAACCGGAAACGCCTTCAATGCGGTTAATATCAAAGACGTTAGCGTGAATAACAGCGGACCGCACTGATCATAGGAAATATGTCTGAAGATTTATTTAATTATCAAGTGAAATAAATATAGAAAGACTTTACTTATTGGTAAAGGAGAAGAGAAGATAATGCAAAATATTGTGTTTATCGTTTCAGTTTCTAATAAGATTTATATTTAAATTTCTTAATAAAATATTCTG